ATTCCCTTCAATGTGACCAATTTCAGTTTATCTCTCAATGAATTCCACATTTTCTGGCGTAATAGAGGAAACGGAATCGCTCTAATAACCCGTCTGATTGCTGCAATTTTCCTAATCCATGATACGTACGACAGCCAATGAACTCTCAAATGTATTGAAGTGGTTTTGCGATCGTAAATGAGAATAATTAATGAACACATATAAGGGCTGTTTGTAGTCGAACTTTATCATAAGCAATTCGCTAAATAATCTATAACATGAAAAGTAAACAAAAACAATTTTTGCGTCGCACACTGCTCGCTCATCCGACGTTACGATGTTTACTAATACTGAATTCATGTTGACGATATATATTTTAACGCTCATAACAAATACGCACACAGATGTATGTATGTATATGTGAGTGTTTCTGAGAGCAGAGCGTTGAGAACCTGATGAATAGACATGAATTGAACGTACGTTATGCATTCATTCTCAACATGAGATTGCCTAAATCGAAGGAGATTAGAGGCAAATCGAGAGAACGATATCGAAAGAAGTGAACACAACAACACTGAAAGATTCGACTTGTAAACAAGCAAAGAAAAATGGCACATAGAAAATGTCCACGTAGTGGTTTATACGATACAGCACCATCGGTGAATTTCTTCTCAACAACTCCTGATTATTGGTCTGATTCGTCAAAAGATCAGTGCGATTCCAAAATCGTTGTGAAAATGAGTTCGCGACTCAATGGTACACCAGCGCATCTTCTCGATGCCACACTAAGTGAGTTTGTTTCTTTTAAAGTCATCTGCCGACGAAACGATTCTTAATGAATGTCGTATTCATACACGTCATCGGTGTTGATGATGAACAATTTCGTTAGACATTCTAATGTGAGTAAATTCTCACATCAGCAATTCCGTATGTATTGCTTGGTGAGAAAGATTTATTGATTAATAGGCGAAAGAACAGAGGCACGAATCGCCTGTCGTGAAACCTCGAAGATTGTGAATCGTGAATGTTTTCGCGAAGTGTTTTGTACATAATTGAACACGTTCGATTGTTCTCCTGCTAGAGATTGTTTTCCTCCTGGAGAAGTTCTCCGCTTATGCCGCTCTTATTCGCATTCAGCAAATTCGCTCATCATTATGATGAACAGTCATAACCGTTTCTGAATGTATATT